TGCTGATTCAAAAACGCCCTATATCAGCATATTTTCAATACATTTGAAGTGGGATAGGGCGTTTTTGAACCGAATTTTGAGATAGGGTGTTTTTCAATTAAATAATGAAATAGGGCGTTCTTGAAAAGTTTTTTGAGATAGAGCGTTTTCGAACTGGCTGCCGAGATAGGTCGATCTTCCACTCAGCCATCGAAATGCAAATGTAGAAAACGAGAAGCAAATATGATGAAGATAATTCTATAAGCCCAAGGGCTTTATTTCCCAAAAAAAAGAAACAAAGCCCGCGGGCGTTATGGCCTTTTATTGGTGGGCGCCATTTCGCTACTTCGAAATGGAAATAACGCCCGCGGGCTTAATTTCTTTTTTTTTTGGGGAAAAAAGCCCATGGGCGTTATATCTTCGGGCGTTATTGCGCTGCACCTAAATGAGCGTTATGTTCATTTTCACAACATTCATATTGGATATCAATGATAATATTCGAACGTTCGCACAATATTTATTGGGTAATTAAAAAAAATACTTTTAATACTTTTTGGCATTCGCGATATTTTTTCAGTACTTGCCAAAAAGTATCGAGTGCTCGATATTACTCAGTACTCATGAAAAGTATCGATATTCTCTACTCGGTACTCGTATCGTTCTATCACTAGGGAAAACACTTTTAGTAGAAATGGTATAGAATTCTTGAAAATTAACATTTTTCAATCGAAAAAATCCGGTTCTCTTCAGAGGACTTCCAATAATAATATCCAATGGGCTATTATCCATTTTTCAATACCAACGATTTTTTATGGTTACCCCATTGCATTTTTTTGGTCTTTTGGAGACCTATAAAAATAGTTTGTATTGAAAAAAAAATAAAAATAAAATAAACAATTGGGTATTGCTATTGGAAGTTTCCTAAAAAGTGACAGAGATTTTCGATCGAAAAATATTGATTTCCAAGAATTCTATACCATTTCAACGAAAGGGAAACTTTGAGCGCTTTGATGCAATTCTAAATGTATCTAATTATTTTTAAAAACAAAAAGAAAGAGTATTATTTTTTCCATTTAGAAAAATCATTTCAACTTTTTTCTCTCGCATGTATTTTTTTGCACCACCCTAATGTACATACATTCAAGTGCGTACTTGCCACATTTTGTTGCCTACATATAGGAGTTTATGCTGCTTATCATTTAGTATTTTTTAGTAGCCGAGCTAGACATCATTGCTTCCTCGTCCACAAAATGTTGATAGACGTAGACGTCTCAGAGTAGACATGCTGCTCGCTGGCCAGTTGAATGCACACCTGAAGATCACAAATAAAGATACTGTTATACGATAATGCTAGTAGATTACACAGTTATACCTTCATACATTTGTGTATGTATGTAAGTAAATAAGTATACGCGAGTGTAATTGATTGCTCGTTCATACATCGCATACTGGTTCCAGTCCTTGCTGACAATTCGTAAATGTGCCTACAATTGAGTTATCGAGTTATTGAGGGAAAATTCGTAAAACGTAAATAAGTTAACTGTGAGTTTCGTTTATTGCATTCCTCATTCCTCATATATAGCTCCTCAAACTCACTTCACTCCAGTTCCAGCGTCAAAAGTATGTATGTATGTACACAAGTTGAGCTATTAAGAGGACACATGATGACTGAAATGGCAATAAGTTGAAAAGTTGCAACGACAAAGGACAATCAACTAGCTGGCCGAACAAAACGTTAGGCCAGTTATATTTACTGCAAAAGGGAAGTAAAAAAAAAAAACAGCAAGGTACGATTGCCCAAATTCATTGTGTGGACAATCAGACAAAATACTATTTGTTGATGAGCACAGAGTACTGAGTATTCATTGTTGTTGTTAGTGTGAGTAATTTTGAAGGTGTACATACATACATGTAGCCACTCTCTGCTAGTTTTTTATTTACTTGCACAAGCTTCTCATAGCCTTCGCCAATTCCTGCTGCTCCTTTACTAAATTATATTTCGCTCAAATACAACACATAAATATAATAACGAAATTACGTCAATTCAGAATTGTTCTGCCTTTGCCAGTAAGTCACTTTTAATGCCGCTCGTTGTCACCTTCCATCGTTGGAGTGCCTACACAGGTACATATCTGGTCTTGCATATGTACCGTCTTGGATATTCGACTAACCAACAGTTTTTGCTTTTGTGTTTGGTATCCTCGTCAGTTCCTTTTATTGCCACTACATTCATATATAGGATTCCTTGAAGGCAAAAGCATTGTATAGGGTGATTCAAGAGTGATGTAGATCTTTCAAAGAAATTATTTGTAATACGTTAATGTTGATTTTTTAATTTTTGCAGACAGTTGGTGCTACACTCAGCGACTCGATAATTCAAAAGGGGATTGAAATATATTGGGAAAATAATATCTTTACACATGTTTTCAATAAGATTAACACCCTGACCTCGAGCCGGCATTAAAAAGAATTGCTTGATTGAAATAATTGTAGCTTACAGGTCTAATGTGCTAGGCTGGGCCCAGCTTCTCCTCTAATTTGCGTTGCGAGCCTTGTTGTTATAACACAGTGTTATGATCTTCAACCATCCGGCTAAGGCGGTCCCTAAGTCATGAAATATGAGCGCTTTAATACCTTGGCTTGGCTGACTATTTATTACTCAGACCTACTTTCCAAAATCAGAAGCTCGTCAGGAGACAAACAGAGTTGTTCCTGAATTCCTCTCGTCTCACCCTATATATGTAGTATGAATAAGTACTACTCATTTATAGTCATAACTATTTTCAGCTATGAATGTCTCTTTGTTTATATCTGATTGTATCTTATGTGGGCCTCATAATACCTTTTCATATGGAAGATGTACATATGTACTAGATATGGATGCACGTCGTTATTTAATAAACCAAGTTCCCTGCAGGAACAAACTTGCATTTGTGAACGAATCTTAAAGCTAAAACTATTACTAACAACCAAACCAAACTTGACAAGGGATGACGGAAATTCGTTCCAAAATAAATCATATTACTAAATACTTGGGCAATCTCGAAGAACTTCGCATTAGAGCAACTATTTCTGAAGCCATTAAGGAGGTGTAAGTTTTAGGCATAAAATCCAGGGCAATTTACGATTATTTTTTTAAATTTCAACTAAAAGCTGAGAGAGATGAGAAGCATGCATAAAAAGTAAAGCAACTGTTGCCATCTAGACTATCGTAACCGGCAATGATTGTTTTGTGTTTTGAGTTTTATAAAAATAAAATCAATTTTTATATAGTAGTAATTTTTTAATTTTTTTTTGTTCTTAGAAAATAATCGTAATTTTTAGATTTTATTTTTGACTTGATAAATAGTCGTTATTTTTTTAGTTTTATTTTTTGCTTGAAATATTTATATTTTATTCATATTTATTTTTATTTTCAGAAATACAACTTAATTTTTGGGTATATTTTTCAAGAAAATGCTCCAGTCGTGAAAGTAAGTGACCACGGTAACTGCTAATGATATCAGGTCCATTTCCAATTGGATTCAGTTGGCACAGAAGGGAAATGACTAGCAAGCTTTACCACTAAATCCGCTTTGCTACAGAGAAGAAGAATATTTTTAGAGCTTCTTAGAATGAGCGACTGAGTGGAGACAGGGGAATGCGAAAAGAGAGGGATAAAGATGCAAGGACAGATAAGTGATGAAGAATAAGATGAAAATGAAGGTGTAGGTGAAGGTGAAGTTGACGATGAAAATGAAGAGGAAGATGAAGATAAAGTTGAAGATAAAGATGTAGATGAACTTGAAGATTAACAAGACGTTGAAGATGAAGATAAAGATGCGATATTAAGATAAAGGTGAAGATGAAAATGAAGATGAAGATGTATGTTGCTCACCCCACCTCGTCGCCGTCTTCTTTTCGTCTTCCCCTCTGTCTCCGTGTTAGTCTTCGTGATCGCCTTCGTGGCCAAATTCGTGGCTTCATCTTCGGAAAATGCTCGTCTTCCACAAATTAAGTTTTATTTTCTAAGAAATAACTTTTATTTACTAAGCAAAACATAAAACTCAAAAAAAATAGCTTTTATAATTTAGTATTTTGTCGGTTCTAGATCAAGTTTTTTTTTAGTTTTTCATTTCGAAAATTGATCGCGAGCCGGCATAATACTAATGTGCAAAGTAGGAAGGTAAATAAAACTAAAAAAAAAACAACGACTGTTTTTAGAGAAAAAACCGAGGGAATAATCATTAAAAAGTCCTTTTTTTCAATAAAAGTTAAAGCCGTTGCGGTACCTTTTAAAGTCTGCACCCTTCTTGTTAGATCCACTTATTTGCTCTCTACTCGGTGATTTGCACTACAGCTTCTTTAACGCATGTGACTAGGCAAGGCTTGGAGTCTTGCCAGCAACCCGGAATTACTTCTTTAATAAATACTTGATTAAATATGATTTGCGCTTCAGGAATTTTCTACAGGGTAGCTTGCGGTATGCCTGCATGTACATACATATGAATACACGAGTATGGAGACGTAAACGAGTATGGTAAATGGCATTTGTGAAATGTCATAAAATTGTATTATTGCATTTGTGCTTGCTTGATTTTATTTCCGTTTCCGTTGTTGTCGAAAATTATGATTGCTAGTTGGTAACGCAAAGCTTTGCTCTGCCTACACATGTCCTCTCATATATTCGTATGTACATATGTATGTATGTATGTACATATGTACAAATGCAGAAAGGAATTCATGTACATACATATGTACGCTTATATCAAGAACAATATTTTAGTCCTTCGCTTTATCGATGATTCATTTATTTATAAAAAAGTGGCTGTTAATTTCACATTAACTTTGTCCTTTTGAAAATAAGAAAAAAACTACTTACTTAAAAAAAATATTAGCACAACACAAATTGCGACGATAGGTTTTTAGCGGTCCAAATATTTAGAAATAATTTTCAAGAAGCTGCCAATATATGCATATATGTAAAAATAAAAAATGTTATGACTTGCTTGCAATCGTAACCCATTAATTTATATTTTTATCGCATTTCAAAATTCAATAAAATAAACGCCTTAAATCCTCAACCTTGAGCAGGTTTTCACGAAAGTGGGAAACTCGGTGAAGACGGCAACCAAATCATTGACCGAAGTCTTAGCGCATCCACCATAGGTACTTGACGTAGATGGCAATTTCTTCGACAGGGAAATCGTCTTGGATATCTGATGCTTTAGCGTAATCGTTTTACCCAATAATTTGAAGAAACATTTGATTGGAGTCGTCTTCTTGGCATCTGCTGCCGCGTCCAAAGCACCGTTGTGGCATACATTGGTGTTCACGTTGATGATGTCGTTGGTGGTATTCACAACAGCTTGCACTTGGTTAACAAGCGCATTAAATTCCTTCGAAGCGCCGGTATTGCAGTCTTGAACAGCATCCAAGAAATCCACACCAGCCGTACGAATGGTTAGGACACGTTTAACGGTACAGTTAACACCTTTCAGCGTACGCAGGCTAGCTCTGATGGTCAAATACAAGAAACCTAAAATGGAGAATGCTTCTTCATCGGTCGTATCCTCGGCATATTCCAATGGTGTAAATTCCTCTAGTTCTTCACTTTCGATAGAGTAATCAATACCGGACTGAGGATAAGCGGCAGCGACTGCCAGGCACAGTCCAAAGATGAGGGCGAGCACAGTTACTTTCATTTTGTGTTACTTTTACGTTTGGGTGTTCAGCACAATTATGATGAAGAGACGGCTCGCTACACGCTTTTATAGCGCTGGAAAGTAGATACTAAAGGTACTAAGTAAACATATTTAAGGATTAATTTTAGTATAATTGAAAATTGATAACATTAATGTTTAATCATAGCTACCCATCAGTTGGGTTAAAAGTCTTAATATCATGCTTGACTAGCTTATGCACAGTTAAAAACACTTATCTTAAAAGATTAAAATTTTTTTCAAAACATTTTTGTTTCACTGCTTAAGAATATTGGGAAAAGTCACGACACTAATTACAGTCGATTAAGAGCTCTACTTTAGCAAAAGAATTTTGTATAAAAATAAAAGCTTATACATACATACCTAGTTTCGACTAAAAAAGATGTCATTTAGGTTCATGGTCAATGCTTTAGATATATGTATATGTACATATGTAAGTTAAATTGGTTCTTTCTACAGGTAGTCTTAACATTATAATTATTACGTCGGGAATACTAGCGCTGCGTACTAAGCAGATACATATATCCAAATGTTTTAAGTAGTTAAGCAATTTGGAGGGAGCCATCTGCCAAATTTTGAATGGAGGAGACAATCGATCACCAAAGTGTATCAGTCTGCTATTCATAATACGTAGGCAGTCACATAGAATATGCTCCGGGGTTGCATCCACCAGCCCACAAAACCTGCCCCATTTTATTCAGATTTATGGTACCTTAACTTGCAGTGTCCTGTTAGGTAGCCAGTAAGAGTTCTAAGACCCTAGCTGCTAAGTTCAAGGAGTGTGTAGGAGTTCCTCTTGGCACACAACCCTTTGACTTCCACCAGTGGTTAGCAATCTGAGATTCTTTCCAGCTCCTAAGTAGTGCATTAGAAAAGCTCGACACCATGTAGGCGCAATACGCTATTTTGGGCTTCCGGGTTATTAAAAAGAGTTTAAAAGTCCTTTAGCAAAGACATTCGCGAACAAAGACTTCGAATATGAATACTTTCGTCTCAAATATGGTTGGGTATATGCCCATTGGCAAACTTTTCTTGAATCTTGGGCTAAGTACGCCTGCTCCAGCCGTAGGGATACTAGGAACTGGCAATCAGAGTTATTATCGCCTCCCAGCAGTCGCCTCTCAGGAGTTATGGCCTTGTAGGGTCTGTAGAAGGATACCTTCGGTAGCATTAAGTCTGTGAGCTTGATAGCTGGATAATCCAGGAATGACTTATGTACTTCCAAATGAGCTGATCGATGCTTGGTAAGTGTGAGGCCGGAAGGACCTTGCAACCACGCATGTCCTGGTTGTTGCCCAACACTCGCTGAGCAGGAATGACGCCCAACTATCGAAGAGTGTACCACAAGTGATCAATTGCACTCCAGTCGCTCTTTAACCGGCGATAACGTTTCACGAGTACCTTTCCAAGCCAATTCCTCAGTAACACAGTACCCCGTAAGGTCTGTGAGACCCGGAACTCAAATGAGCCTAATACTGAAGTATTCAGGTGCGACCGATAGAGAGATCAGACACTTCTTAACTAAGTTAGAGCGCACCTCCAACGCACTCAAGTCGCTGATAGCCACTTGGCTATCAGATTTTTTGATTTTCATCGCACTCCGGAGCAGTGACCCTACCGCCTCCTTGATAGCAGACACTGCTGCCTGGAATACACTACAGCTGTCCGGAAGCCTGAACTTAGTGCTGATGGAAAGCCCTCGACAGAAGACCACATCACCAAGCCTGCCAACCAGTTTCGATTCATCCGTGAAGAAGTTCACTGCTCCTCCTCTCCAGAGATCTGTACGATAAGGAATGAAATTCAAGGCCCCTAGAACTTCAGAGTCTTCAGTCCTTAACTTGGTCAACCAATCGGTTTCCCTGAGTCAAATAGCTGTTCGCGACGCGGCAATTTTGCCTGCAACGTCGGCATGCACTAAGTTCAGTATTACGTTCAGTGCTAATATGGGGGTGGTCCACAGTGGCTGCTTAGCTAGTGCAACCTTTTGAAGTGGGGTCGACCAGACTAGGGCGCCATAAAAGATAACAGGCTTGACTACGGTCTAGTAGAGCCAAAAGACAACTTTGGGAAACACCCCATCTCTTACCAGTAGCTCCCTTACAGTAGTATAAGGCCACTGATGCCTTCCTTGCTCTATTCTCGATGCTTGGACTGCTTTCCTGTCAAAGATCAAGCCCAAGTACTTGACCATGTCAGACGGCTGTAATTGATGATCTCCAACAGAGCGAAGAACAGCGTCCGGGAGTTTATACTTTTAAGTTCTGTCTTACTGAGTGTTTAACCAGATTGTTCACCACTACGATCCAGAGCAAGGGTGGGAGGACTCCTCTTTGCGGGGTGCCCCTATTCACCGTGTGAAGCAAACAAGCGCTGCCCCATGTGGCCAAGACAGTTCTGCCATGAAGCAGTTTTTGGATAAACCGAATGAGACTGACATCAACCCCAAACTTATCCAAAAACTTAACTATTGCCTCCGGTAGGAAATCTTCTTCTATCCACCTCACAATTGTGTGTAGGGCGGTTTCTACCGATCTTCCTTTAAAATAAGCTTGCTGAGCTCTTGATGGGCGATCTCGGGGAATCATGCTCCTTATGTGCAAGTCAACCAGCCTCTCCAAAGTTTTCACTAGAAACGATGAGAGATTGATTAGCCTGAACTCTTTGGAGGCAACATGGAAGCTCCTTCCGGCCTTCGGGATGAACACTACCTTGACAACCGTCCAACATTTGGGAATATACCCGTATCTTACGCAGTTTGCGTAGATAGGGGCCAGTCAACGGCATGACACCTCCGAAGCTTTTTTCTATAAAGGTATGATGCCATCGGGTCGTGGGGATTTGAAGGGTTAGAACGAATTTATCGCCCAAGTCAGGTGACGGTCATTCAGAAGGTCAGAAAAAGCACCGCCGCCTCCACGCGCTTCCCTTAAGCAAATTTCCTCTGGGGAAGGATTGAAAGAAAGAGAGTATCTAGGAGCAAGCTCAGTGATTCCTCGCTACTCATAGTCTAGTGCCCTGCCTCAGCCCCCTAGTAACCCACCGCAGCGAGAACATGCCTAAGTATAGAGGATTCATGAAACCGTGCTACGTTTTCACCGAAAGCTCTGCAATAAACTCTTTTCGCCTTTCTGATCTCGGACTTGTAGCGGAAATTCGCTTTCAAGAGCATCTCTGCATGCAGAGCTGAAAAAGATAATCTAGCGAATCCGCACCACTATTAAGGCGTTGATGACTTTGTATTTTTGGCAGTGAACCTACCCAGCTACATAGTCTGATGGATGCGATGCGCGTGTACTGTTCACAGTGGAGTCTAAAGTAACCTGAGTAAGTCGAAAATCATGGTGTTTCGAAAGTGCACCAGCATCGCAATTGCCTATAGCTGGATGTATGCAAACGAACCAGTGGAAGTTTTCGAGTACAAATACCTAGGCATTTTTTAAGTTAAATTTTTAATTTCTCAGGCTTTTAGGGACTGAACTGGTGAACGCATAGAATACATACTATAAAGGATGTTGTTACATAGTGTATAAATATAAAAAAATTTTGTAATTTTTTTTGACACTTTCGTTTTTACTATAAAACGTGCTGCGCATTAAAATTCGAAATTGTAAACTAATCTACCATTATTAATGTTTATAATAAATTAGCCTCACAACAGATGTTGGACACCGTGCTTATCATTTTTGAATGCCAAAAATACCGACGGACTACTAAAGTATTTATGTACATACATATATATTTTGCCCGTGTGGCTGATAAATATTCTATATACGTACATATATCTACGTCTAATATTGATGATGAAGTATTACCTCTTTTGCAAAATATTTTTTGTGAAAGCATTTAGTTAACAAGATAAATATGGTAAAGTACACTGATATTGAAAAATTATGAGGAGACATTAACACCGGCATACAAAAAAGGAGTGGTCTGTGCATTTAACCAGACTCACCTACCGACATTTTCAGAGACCCGAGAAAATTAAACAGGAGTCCTACAGGGTGGCGTCTTTTCCCTGTATCTGTTTAATTTTCACATATCGAAGCTCCCTCAATCACCAGAGGGAGTCTCGATTGTATTTTATGCTAACGACTGCGCTACAATGGCGTCTGGGAATGCAATTGATGACTTGTGTTCGAAAGTAAACGGTTACCTCTCCAAACTTTCTCGCAACTTCACTGCAAGGAGCCTAACCTTCTCGCCCACAAAATGCTCGGCAGCCCTCGTTACCACCTCTAGTCTAACCTCCAGCTGGGTATTCACGTCGATGGCGATTCAATTCCAACGGTGAATAACTCGAAAATCCTCGGAGTTGCCTTCGACAGTCCGCTCTCCTTCTCAGCGCATACAATCGCAATTGTCAATCGAGTACAAAGCCGCAACATGGTCCTCAAATCGCTAGCCGGCAGCACTTGGGGCAAAGACGTAGACATGTTCTTGGCAACATACAAGGCAATTGGCCGGCCGGTCCTCAACTATGCAACGCCCGTGTGATCGCCGGGGACTGGCAGGACGTAGTGGACGAAGTTACAGACTTGCCAGAACACGGCACTCCGGACCGCGACAGGATGCCTCCTGATCTCGCCAAAACACCACCTTAATGACGAGGCGCAGATGTTCCACTATTAGGGAGCATAACATAATGCCCTGCAAGGAGTTCCTAGTAGGGAGCCACAGACGGACAACTGCTGGTAGAAGAACCCTCACCAAGGCACGTCACGAGGCATCTCTACGAACTGACGGACGAAGTCCAGAGGTTCATAAAATAACCTCTGGACACAACTGCATACACACACACCTTAAACGGCATTCACAGGGAGCCAGTCTTGAACTATATAGACTCCCGACCTGTAAATGCCATTTTAGGTACACAACCACTTGACGTGGACGAGACAGAGGTTTGTCTCCCTCGGGAGACGCGCACCACAATAGCTCAACTTCGCTCTGGCTATTGCAGCAGGCTAAACTCGCGGTTGAGC